GGCTTTACAGTAGTGATCTTGGCGGATGGCGCGACTATTGACCTCTACACTTGATGGACCGAGATCATCGGCCGCTCTATACACATGGATACACAGGTGAATAAGGAAAAAGCATAGGCGGCTAATTCAAATTCCGAGCGCATTTAATGTTGGAGCATAGCTCTGTAGGCGAAGTTCGCACGAATCATTCAGTATTCCGCCCCCTTCCTTGTTCCGAGGAGAAAGACAAGGGATGCTTGCTGAGGCTTTTCTTCGCTTCTTTTTTATTTTTGGTCAACTCGGTATCCACAATCTCATTATGAACCACTGTGTCCACCAATTTGATCTGAGGGTGGAGTTGCAAATCCATCTACCATGAACGTTAGTCCTGTCCACATTGATATGGAAGTGGTTAAAAATACGAGACCTTCGATCTATGAATAGCCAAAGTAGAGGTAGTTAACGGGCAAGGGAAAGAGTGGCTTTCGAGTAACGCATTCCCGGCTGGCTTTGCTCTGTGTCGGCGTAGGGCATCACTACCCAGGGAGCCAATTCAAGCGAGCACCCATCCGGCCCAAGTACGCCCCCCACCCCTCCCAAGCATCTAACAAGGGAGGTCGTTCAGGGTGTGCCAAGCTTTTTCAAAATGGTTTCTTGCATGACATTGGGGCACATATGGGGACCACAGAAGCATGGTTCATTTTTCCTGAACGGCTCCTCTGAATACCAGAAAAGGGGGTCCCTAGTTCGATTCCTCGTGGTGACAAATTTTTGCATTTCGTGTTGACGTTTCCAAAATTCGCGCAAAATGGAGTTAGCATGAATAATTAGTACCAATTCATGATTAGAAACCCTTACAAATAGACTTTGATTGAAAAATTGGTGGGAAAGGAGTGACTCTAGACCAGGGTGAAAATCATGTCGAGGAAATAACCGCCTCTTTACGACCCCCCTCCAAAACATGGACTCTGATACGACCCCTTTTTGTCCTCTGCACATCCGGTTTCATATCAAAAAATGCTAGTTTCAGATGTGCGAGAGGGCAGTGGGTGTTGGGGGTATAGATCGAGGATGCTAGTTTCAGATGTGCGAGAGGGATGCAGCGCCGCTGCCACGCAAATGCGGCTTGATCCAAATGCTAGATTCAATTCTGCTCAGATTAGGTTCTCCTTCTTTCCTTTAAAGACATTTAACCTTTGCCACATTGGCCGGAAAGTAGAACATTGAAGGAGGTACTGCCCCTACACAGTTGAACAGTCTCGCGCTCCAGTATAGCGGCGCTAACTACCCGCGATCGCGTCGCGCGCTGTGCCTAGAGCGCGCTAGTTGGAAAAATCGTCAAATGTACCCCCTATTTAAAGGACTATAACTTTCTTCATTGATAACCATTTCAGAAAGTGAAGGCAGCTTTTGAATGCACAAGACTTCTAGTTTCTAAATTGTGCTGAGCGTTTTTCTAAGCACGCCTATTCTCGAGAGTGGGAGACGTCGAGAAATTGTCGAGGAAATTGAAATTTACATGCGAGTTCCCACTCTTTGGAAGACAGTAGCTGTCTTCATTGGCAATGCTTTGAAAATCGGAGGAAAGCGTTGTAAAGTAGAAGATTTACGCTTTCTGATAGGTGCTCCAGTTGTTTCGAACGCTTTCTAGTTCGCGAGAGAAATCTGCGTCGAGGAAATGTCAAGGAAATTTTCGAAGCCACTCGAAAACTCTATTACTCCCTCGCCGTAGTAGGGGACTTCTTTGAACATCTTCAAAATACTTCTATACACGTCAGTTTGATGGAGTAAATTGAAAATGATGCACCTGGCGCGGATCCATTCCGTTCCTGTATGCGCCATGCAGTGACCCCACTCGGAGTCATTGGGAAGGTCCGTCGAGGATATGACACGCTTGCGGTTGCTAGGAGGCTGATGATGCTTCGAAGGAAGGAATAGCGAAATCTGCTTGTGTTTGAGGAACGTTTCTAACAAACATTTGCTGTTCCGTCTTAAGTTATTATCGAAAGACATTAACGCATTATTAGAGGTACCGGATATCTTAGTGTCGCTTTTCTGAGTTCAGGAAGTTTTGGGGCCGATTACTATGGAAAATCAATATCCCAGAAGGCAGTTTTTGCTCATTAATATTGCGAAATATGTTGCTTACCGTCTTCTATTGTTGGTTCACAATTTAACTTTCCCCCAATTTTTATACTTTCTTCTGAAAATTCCTGGGTCCAGTGTGCAAATTCGCATGTGTGTACCAAATGCATCAAAATTCTTGCTGAGAGCTGTAACCTCCGCCCACCAAACCAGCATTGCATTTGATGGAGGGAATACTACCATTTAAAATGCTCATCGGTTTTTCACAGTTTTCTTAAAAGACAGTAAAGTCTTTGAAGGGATGCCCGCAACCGTCGCCAAAAAGGTGGTCCTAGCTAAATCAGTCAAAACGGGGCTGCACCAGTCTTGTGCTGGAATGGTAGGACACCCTAGCAGTTACTGATCGATGGTGCACAGACGCTCTAACGAAGTTGATTGACCAAGAAATTCTAATAAATGTGCTCATCTGCTACTCACGTGTGCTCAAAAAGGGTGCGTTTTTGACCCCATGTGGCAAAAAAGACTCCGGGAAAAATTGTCCAGTTGAGCTGGTAAGTAATAAATTTTCCACCAAACAGTGCAGACCCTACTCTAACTAAATGTATACATATTTTGTCCAGGCCCAACTGTTTAGCAAGGTAGAGGGATGATTTGTCAGATGATGTCAAATTCGACCTACCTCTCTTTTTCGTCTCAAAAAATTCCTAACTTTAATCGTACGAGGTTTTCACTCATACTGGTAAATGGGAAAGGGCTAATGAGTCATTCGATGGATATGCCGTTTCACTCACTGGATTTTGAATTAAAATATTGGTGGTCCGAAACTCGCGGTGAAAAAACGACACTAAGATATCCGGTACCTAATAGAGTAGCAAATCCGCCTGCCCGTTCCCTACGATTCTTGACAGGAGCCGTTTGCCGTTCCTATTGCACATACTGATTCACTACGAACCAAACCAACACACACTTTCCATTTGAATTTTAATTCCAGACAGTGTGAGATATTATTTGCATTAGGCTAACTACAACACTTGTGAAACTAATGATGACAGCAAATAAGTGGCAGCAGCACCGTTGTGTCCGTTGATGACCCTTTTGATTACGACCCCCTCCCAACTCTCATCGGAGCAAATACGACCCCCTGTCGAGGATTTCCTCGACCGTTATTCACCCTGCATAGGACCCCCTATTTCTTGTTTGTATTCAGAGGGCCGTTCAGGAAAAATTAACCATGGTTCTGTGGTTCCCGCATGTACCTCTACATCATGCAAAAGGACCGTTTGAAAAAGCTTGGCACACCCTGAAAGACCTTCCTTGTTAGGCCTGTAGGCCCGAGGGATGTGGGCTGTTGTGAGCAATTGTCATTGTCCTTAGTGTTCTAGCATGTTCCTTCTCCACTTCAGCAGAGCGGATTCCTTTATTGAAAGCCGTGTTCAAGATTTCAGAAGACCAATGTAGGATGCAAAAGATCAAATGAAGGACCTCAAATGGCTCAGTTACGAACGATGCGAAACAAGAAATTGGAAACAGACTTTACCATGGATAATTTCAGATCACCATCAAGAAAGAAACGTGGCCTATGAATCTGGTGCGGGTATTCAGAGCAGGGTCGACCCTATCGTTGTTACTTTTTGAAAAATTTTTACGACCCCCCTCCCCAAGGTGGATTTGATACGACCCCCCCCCCTTTTCCACACCTCGACCACCATCTCATATCTAATTCTGGTACCACTCAACCCCGACAAACTCCGCCCACTTTTCCCTCCAAAATGACCGTCGAGCGCGGGGTATATGGCTACTCCGAAACAGTAAAAGTTTCCGAAAGTTTCCCATATTTCCACCATTTTACCCCTAGCGGGTACGAACCCCCCCCCCCTCCTACAAACTCAACCAGGTACGACCCCTCCCGGTGTCTCTTAACAACGCTGAGAGTACACTGTTTAGAAGTCAAAGTGAAGTGTTCCAATGAAAGGCGATAACAGAAGTGAACAAACTAGGAGCAGAGGTCCTCTCTGCGGGGTGGCTGAGGCAAGACCATCAGTGGAAGGAATTGCAGATGGTCACCATGTCGAGCAAAGCTGATGCTGAGCTTGATAGAGCAATTGATAAAGCGGAAGAACTAAAGTCGCCATAAGGACATAACCAAAAGCAAACCTCACTCGGAAGTGGACCATAGAACCCATCCCTTATCATTAGTTTTATGGTGAGCAATATGGACTTGGTGTAGGGGAGATAAACCATACCTGCCGAAAAGCTAATTCGACGACCAGGCGAAGCGCAAAACATACAAATACTCTACTCCATACTCCGCGACGTCGCAACAGCAATGGACGAGTTTCTGCGTGCGTCATTAGAATTTGGGGACCTTGAGCAGAGTCATCCCTATGATATTCAACTTCAATCAATGCGTGGATGGGTCCAATTCCCTCGAACCCTTTTGTCATACGTTCTTCAATATTGTGATAATGGACTTTGAAAGCATGTATTTAACGCCATTTTCTACGGAAGAGCCATAGTTGGAATACGATACCCATGTCCCACATAGATTGTTATGAACTGCGAGAAATTCACTGCTCCAACTGTCCAATTCAAAAATCCCGCGCCCACTATAAAATTGCCGCACCACGACGCCGCGCGAGTGGACGCCGCACGTGGCTGCGCGACGACCGGACGAATCTGTTGACCGCTCCCCTTCTACGAAAGCCTAATGGAGCGTTCACAGTTAGCGATCGTACGTGCTATTAGGCGATTAGGCGATGATTCAATAAGAAAAGTATACGTATCAATAGGGCCACCTAATCGCCTACTCGCCTACAACGCTCTATGGGCGGAGCGAACCAATCAATAGCTATGTTGTGTTCCCCGTCTAATCGCCTTCTCGCCTACTCGCCTAATCGCCCGCTTGATCACCAGCTCTGAACACTCCATAAAGTGCTTTACTCACCGCCGTAGCGATCTAAGAAGTAGCAGAATCGAGCGTAAGTCGTGTATGTGGCGACGTAGCAGACAATCACATTGAATGCAACAAATTTGTTACTCCACAACTGGTGTTGGGAACCCATGCGAGTAAGCGTACCCAGTATGACCTGCAAACATCTCACAGAACGTCAAAACCTGTCCAAAGATCCTCGCAGAGCCTCTTAACGCAGTCAAAACCACCTGTAGTTCTTCATCATGAACGCGATCATCTTGCAGTACATCAAGCGATTCTGAAGCGCCAGAATCTTCACCGCGTAATGATAGAGATCGATGGCCTGGTTCAACTGAAATGTTTACAATTATTAAGACCAGGTCAGGGTTCTTGAGGAACTTACTTTCGGTCGTAGATCTTACACTGCGCGCCTCCTGGAACACACAGATTTCTGAGTGAAATATTTTACATGGGATCATAGTTCGCCATCTGAAAATGGCTTGATCACCTGTGCATGCTCATGCTCATGCTCATGCCAGTCGTGGACATCCATGTCTGCAGAAACCGTAGCTACAAATGAAACTTACCCATTTGTTGAAGAGAATGATAACAATTTAAAGATTAGAAAGATAACGGCGAAAGATCGATTTTATTGAAAACAATATTAACTGACTGAGCCTTACTCGGTTGAGATGTAGAGCCTTAGTCGGCGAGAATAATGCGAGAAAAAAAAACAGTCAATCAATTAGGCCAATAGGGCGGGTAGGTGAATAAGCGATAGATGAGCAGCAGGTAAGCAAGCGAAATTCGCATTGCGACAATTATTGGTGTACGCCATTCGAGCGTTTCACGTGATTTGTAATCGCTTGTTCGATCGATAGGCTGGTGTCAGAGTTTGCGCGAATCGCGCGACGGATCGAGGACTCTGACACTGGCCATACGTATCGTGTCCTTCTTGCTTGATCGCTTAGGCGCCTAGTCGCCAACTCTGAGCGCACCCTAATGCATATTTCACCAGCGCGAGCCCATCTTAGAGCATAGGTCGCGAGAACAAGGTCAAGCCTTTACTGGCAAGGATGAAAACATATAAATTGCCGGCATGTCAAAATGCTGGGCGGAAGTGGTGTAGTGGCAAGTGGCGCGCTTACCACGCGAGCGGTCCGGGGAAATCCTGGGTCGTGAGTCGCCCGGGCCAACCAAGCCTTCCATCCCTCCGGGGTCGGTTAATTGGTACCAGACTTGTCTGGGAGGATAAAAACACTGACTTGTACATCGGCTGGCCCCCGCAAGTCATTGTATAGGCCACATCGCATTCAAACGCCACTACGAATGTACAAATGGAAGTAGAATGCGTGCCGCATCCCAAAAAGGGATTGATCAACGGCAAATGCTTTATCCTTTATCCTTTTATCAAAACGCTACAGCTTTGCAAGAATTCCCAAACTGATGAATGGCAAACGGCAAAGTAGGGATAAAACGATAAAACAAAAGGCAAACTCCGGGATAAAACGTGGGAGTTCTCTGTACAAATATGAAGCCCTGGGTGCTTACTGAATCGAACCTGGAGAAAAAAGCAGGAACTCCCCCGAAATAGTTCAAAATTATAACTTCCTCTTCGTTACTTACTTACAAGCCAGGGCTGGGAAGATAACGTGTATGGACGTGTTCACAGCAACTGTTGGCTTTATGCCATCAACCGACTCGGCTATAACAACTCAGCGATGAGAATTGATTTCTTCCAACTTTCCTTATTTTTCTGTTTATTTGCGCTTTTTTGTTTGTTTTCTTATTTTAAAAATTTTACTCTCATTAGAATGAGTGGCAACGATGGACTTCGAAGTGCAAGGCAAGCGACCGCGAGGAGCCCCAAAGAAGAGGTGGAGAGACGTATCAAGAAGGACCTAAGTGAAGTCATGGCCACAGCAGAAGATGCCCTGGACAGAGCAAAGTGGCGACGACTGACAAAGACAGCGGACCCTGCGACTGCGCGGGACTAACGCTAGGGAGAAGAAGAAGAAGATTGTACCAAATATCAACATGTATATCAAATATGCGGGAATGGCACACAGACATGTTTCGTAGCTTACCACGCGCACTTTAAGAGATCAAATCCTGGCGAAGCGCCAACGCCGTTGAGGTAAAGCAAGGAGTCCATCTCTCCGATCCTGTTAATTGGTATCATATCTGATTTTTACATCGGCTGTATAGCATACGCCCCAAATCGTTGTATAGGCAACATCGCAGATGCCACTACAATTTCGAATAGAAGTAGAATGCACGGCGCATTCGAAAAGAGAATGATCGTCGGGTGTTCCACCGATAATTCCTTTAATTTATTATTATTAGACTTAATTCGTGATCTCATCTGCTAGTCATTTATCACATTCACGGTCATGTAATCAAGTGAAAAGAGCGAGGCAAGGACTAACAATTAGACAAAATGGCAATTCAATTGCAAATAAATTTCTCCCAATTTCAATTTCTCCCAAATAAATATATGGCTAAAGATCTGATTTACAGTCAATTTGAAAGCATAACAACATTAACAACAATTCGCTGGAAATCTTATAATGAAGAGGCCTACCATGGAAAAATCTTACTGAGAAACAAGTACAGCAAGCGTGCAGGTGATTCTTTGAAAACATGGAAAAAACATAGTAACCGTCACTAGTGAAAAAAAGGAATGCAACTGAAACGAGAATTCCAAAAAATAGTAGTAATTTTAAGTACATGAAAAAAAAACGATCAGAACTCAGTTCAGTCCATCGAAGGTTCAATAAGGGACAAAACGCCACCGACTAAATGAAGACTTCCTGTAACCAACACATCCAATGTTTCCGCCTCGGATAAACGCTCAATGCACTGAACAGTGGATGATATGCAGTCGAAGACGAAAACCTCCTAAATGAACCGATGCTCTTTTTGAAGCGAGACGGATTCCAATTTAAAATTCCGATAAACTTCAAGGTAATAAGCAAATGTACTCCTGATCCGATTTCTTTCCAAACCGTAGCACACTGCTGACTGCGAATCATTTGATCTTTTGGTGCTTGATTGATGTTAGTGAGGTCAGACTTCATATCGGGTGACACTTTCAACGCTGTTGGACAAAACAACGCGTAGTCGAAGGAATGCATCTGAAACCAACTTTTAGTCTTAACATGCAAAATATGGCACATTCAGTTGAAAGTTTAGGGGTTGTAGCTGCTTACCAGACTATCTTGTGATAGTCTGGTAAGCAGCCACAACCAGATAGCTAGCTACTTACAACGGTTCTTTAAACCTTTAACATGCCATAACAAAAGCGTGCACCATTTGCCCTTTACTGCCAAACCCAAGACACATTGTACACCAAATTTGCTGACATCTTAGTGGGTAGATCAAAGGCGGAGTTCACGATTAGAGAGCAGCCCATTCAATTAAGAGGGGGGTGGTCAGTGGTGCAGGATGAAGAAAAAACCATGAGAAACGGCCCAGAACCCGAGAAATGGACCCTTCCTTGCCCGTTGATTTCCGCATTGATGCGACTCTCATCGGTGCTGCCCTCTTCAACGCTAACGCTCTCTCTGCTAAACGGCTAGAGACCTGCGGCGAGTGGTTAGCCAGTGGGCGTGCCGCGTCGATAGCGCCGCGGGGACGGCCATGCTAGATCGCCGGGGCATATCCTTCGCTGCGAATTGCGTGTCGCTCCGCACCCTTAGGGGGCGGCCTGCCTTTCTCCTAGTTGAGATTCCCCTTGTCCGACATTCGATACTGCCACGGAATCTTCCTATTCCGGAGTCGACGACAGCGGTTAGTTCGGCTTTTTTGGCCACGCGGGACAGGCGCAATTTTGCGAATGCGGCTTCCTCACGTCTCATATTTTTGAGAGGTAACTATGTGAGCATGAATGGAAAGAAAACCATTTCAGTAATATTCAATGTGTAGAAGTTAATTGGGTGTACAGTGATGAAAACCGATAAAAAGGACGTGTGATGGTCATTAAAAAACATATCTTCCTAGTTTTCACTGTGATGGACATTAACAGTGTTTTTGACGCAATTATGGCAGGAAAAACATATAGTTTTCTATTTTTCGCATGGATTTTTATTTAGTTCTTCAACGTAATGAACTATGTAGATTGATTTCAGATACGTTCTGGTCTGATCCATGAAAAAAATATAAACAATTTGGGAACAAGTCGCGAGCGCGATAAGGGATGTCTTGGGTGGGACGCGCAACCGTGTCGCAGTTTCCGACGTGGGTTGGGGAGTGGGACGCGTTACCGCGCCATTTTTATATCTTCACGAATCGTAGTCACATAAATGTAATAGCGGCAGCGCCTGTAGAGCGAGCACCAGGCACAATCGCAGAATTTTACCAATGAGTCCGTCGGGGATCGCTACCATTATCTAACCTATCAAGGAGGTGCAGAATAGCTAATGTACCTCATCAATGCTTAACGATATGCCTTCAAGAATGGAAAACAAACTTATGATAGAACTTTGAGAAAGTAACAGGGACCACGGCAAGCGGTACATTGAAAAACGAGAACTCGTTTCATTTTTGGAGTCTTCTTCACTACTTTTCCAAACCACAACGAGCACATCTGTAAGAGAGTCTGACCTTCAGAAATAGTTCAACGAGAAATATATGATAAACAGAAAATGAGAAAAACGAGTTTACCTCCATACTTTTTGGTGTGTGTGCACCATCCAAATAAAAACGTATTCGATCAGTGTCGATAACCTGACTTCTACCTGGCCACTGACATGACTCTAGGGCCTCCACTACCAACTGTGGAACATTAAAAGGCTCACCGATACGCCATTCATTTTCATGCGCTTCAGGAAAGACGTCCACTGAAACGATGAAAATGCTGCAGCATCTAAAGCTTGAAAAAATGGAACAGCAATTATATGTTAGGTGATACCTTCATGTCCCATTCGTTTTAGCCACGTTCTTGCCAACTGCAGAGCCAAAGAAATGTTGAGTTTTTGATGTTCACCATCGATCCCAGCCGATACGGTACCCGTTGCAAAGGAGTAAGATTCGTATGGTGGTGCAGTCCTGAGATCAACCTAAATCTGAAGGAAAAGTCATTATAGATGGCCAAATACACATGTCTACTCTCCCACTAAACCGCGTTTTATTTGCTTAATTTCCGAGTTGAATAATATCTGCTTGAAACAAGATTGGTGGGGCGCTGAGGAGGGAACAACTTGGAAGGTGGCGTTACTTGAAGGTCAACTTCGCTCTACGGCTTAACATCCGACTACTCTATCATTGAGCGATGGAAGCGCATGGGAACGGAAGGAAGGAAATGGCAAGGAATAGTCAAGAATCAGAATGATGATGGAAAATTCTTGAGGCAGAAATACCCTCCCTGCAACAAATTTCCTCCACACAGGGTATCACCACTGCCCCTTCTTTCTTAAACCTTATTCCGGTACATTCGAAAGCGGAAAACCTGATAACTTGCCAGATCCTACTTTTCGTTTGTTAATTGATTACAACGTAAACGTGATACATGAACGTGAATGTGATAATGACTTCCAAATGAGAGCAGTGAATACAGTTTCAAGCAAAACTTCCATTGATGACAAGGTTACAGGGAAATCTATCTACAAGGACACATATCTATCATAGAAAATCAATCCAAAATCTTCAAAAAAGAGCAGTAAGGAGAAAATAGCGCGCTAAGCAATGCGAGTTCAAATGCTTCGATGGTACTGCAAATAGAATAGATTGCTGAGGATATAGCAGCGAGAAGGATAAAAAACTATATACATAAGGAGCGATATCAGCGCTTCATGGATTCCACAAGGTTCACCGTTCAACTCACACATTATAAACCCTTTACAAAGATTACCCTTGCCTTTCTCATAAAGCACATCACTAGCAGTAAACTTAATATAGTATTTTGTTTGAGGGCAACTCACCTCACGTTCCAAACCACGCTTCTCTATGACGGCAAGAGCATCTGGTGAAGCTGGACTCATTACAGCCGGCGAACCATTCTTCAAAATACCAGCCTTGTGCCATGCGATAGAAGGTAAGGTAGATCCCAGTATGGTAGTATGGTCAATGTCCAAAGTGGAGATACCACATACGAGAGGATGCCTTAAAATAACTTAGAAATAACCCATTAATTGTCTCATGCTGATAGTGAAGTATATTAGTGTGATATATAGGTCGAATGCATGAAACACTCGCGGGTAATTGGGCGTTACCCGTTGGAACCATTACAGACTTGTGCCATTTATCTACTAAAACCAGCACAGTCAACGTGAAGGACCACAAAAAGAATGAAAGAAAGGAAACTTACTGTATGATATTCGTACAGTCGTATTCTCCACCGATTCCGACTTCTACTATAGCCACATCAACACATTCCTCAAGAAACACATGAAAGGAGAGAAGAGTGAGAAACTTGAAATATGGAGGCATGCCTTCCGACCCTTCATCCTGAAGAAGAAAACTACGTAATGAATGAAACTAAAGCTGCACGAGTCAGGCAAAGTGGGTGAAGCTTACGTTCTTGAGTCTATTATAAATAGTGAAGAAATGCTTCGCAAACATCGCTTCGCTGATTGGCTTTCCATTGATACGAATCCTCTCTCGAGCGTGGACCAAATGAGGTGACCTTGAAGCACGCATACATCTATTTGTTGGCAAGCAAAAAATTGCAAGAAAGGAACTGTTTCACAGTTTTATTATGACATTTAGGCCGCAAAATGCGAAAAATTAATACCACCCTAACACAGTCGAAGCTGCTAAAAAAATACTCACTGCGAACACCTAGATGTCACGCTAATGAGTGTAGTGCAATTGATGAACGCATATTGAAAAGGCCAGATATGGTGTAGTGATAAGGTCAGCATACCACGCATGGCCTTCGCACGAATAATGAATCGAATTTCGACCAATGTCTCCTTCCAATTTTATATTCTCTCCAAATATAATTTAGTAACACGAGTGTTACCGTCGGAGGGAAAGGAAAGGAAGGGTATTCCACTGTAGCGCATTAAAAGGTCTCATACCACGATGCTAAATGTAGCCCTCAGAAAACATTGCTCCATCCTCGGTCGGGAAGACGAAAACATTAGATTGTAAATCCCTAGGACGTGAAAAACTGAGACTGGTGAATATCAAGCTTTCGACGCAATGCGCTTTCGCTGGGGGTGGGACAGTCTTGTAGGAAGGCCACTAGGCCAAGACCTAACGTGAAGGACAAACTCCGGAAAGAATAAGAACTGCTTACGCATCTTGGATGTAGATCCCTTCTTAGGTTTTACCCTCAAAAGCTTTTTCCTCGCGAAACGGACCCATTGTTTACAGACTGCCCCCTCTGGAGCCATACTGCGCCAATCTTTCTATATTTTATTCTTTAATTTTCGAACTACTAATTACGAAAGGCAGCGGTCACTAAAAACTTGGTGCTAAGTGGGCAGGGTGTACGCGGCGACGCGGCGCTCGGCTTGTGTGGTGCTCTCTCTGACGCGTGGGACTAGCTGAGCATAGGAAGGAGGTTCAAAAACAGGTTTTCCGACATACCCTCTCTTTTCTCGAGTGCAGACCCATATTACAGGTGACGAGGCAAATACAAAATGTTAATGTTACTTACTAATGGCATGATTAGCCAATTTCAGTTGTATTCTATCAGTTGTCACTAATTACAGCTAAATGGTTAGTTAGGTGGACCGTGTGCGTCTGCACTTCGACGCGCTTCTTGGTTTCGTGAAACAGACGTATTTAGGGAGAAGCAGTAAGCCAGGATATTCACTCGAAGGATTTTTGGTAACTTCCCATCCGTACTCTCCTTCGACGCTGGCCTCGGTCGTTTGCTGCGATTTGCTAGGAGTCCAGGGATAGGTAAGCCTGATCAACCGTGGCCAAAGTTGGGATTTTGTGTGTTTTCCACACAACCTCATAAGCGTGGACCAACGACGAACAGTAGTTCACCTGGGGGCGGTTCCTGCAGCGAAAGAAAGTATGCGAACTGTGAGCCGAAGCTTAAAGTCATCTATCCAGGCGAACCAAAGCTCCTTCTGGAATTCATCGGCTTAGGCCGATGTCAGACTTTGCGAATCGCGCGATTCGCTAGCGTCTGCGGTCGCGTCGCGGCCAGTGAATCACTCAATTGGCTGGTACCGCAACGCGACCGCGGACGCTAGCGAATCGCGCGATTCGCAAAGTCTGACATCGGCCTAGGGGGCGCCGCGCCGATGCGTGGTCCCCACTAACTAAGTTAGCACCAAGAACTTTCGAACTCACGTATACAATCCAGTTCGGAAGCCAGCCTTTCGCAGAATAGATTCCACAAATGCACATGTTGATCCTTTTCCCTTTCGTGCCACTTACATGCACAATATTGAGACGATCCAGATCATTCAACTAAAACGGCACAAATAGTATCGAAACGTCTTCTTCATGCACACACTCACCAACTTGACCTCACTTCAATTCCACATTTATTCAGGAAACATATTGTATTGGGAATATTTGTTTCTTGTAGAATATTGCGTTTCTCTCGCACTTTTTGAAGGGTTACTGCGTTTGATTGAAGAGAATTCAAATGTAGCACGGCAACCTGGAACGTGACAATCATTAAAGGAAAATAAAGAAGAAATTACGAAAGGCAGACCTCGTAGGGATTTTGAGGCAGTTCTTTGACAAGTGTATGGCTGAACGCAGCTGGTATCATGACTGTAGACCGATTTACAGTCAACAGAGGAAATTCACGACGATGGAACGGATTGACGACAGGCACCGAGGCGACCCAACGGCCAAATCGGCCGAAAACGAATCGATCGGTCATCGCCGAACTTGCACAGAACGACGCCACCGATGACACCTCCTTGAACACAAAAGGCGAACGTGTGATAAGTCTTGTTTGTAATCACGTCACACGTCACATGCTTGACGTCTATCATTCAACAGACACAGTCGCCTACATTCGTCGGTGATATGACGTTTAGAAGACGTTTGCCAGAAAAATGGATGGAGAGGGTAAAAATTTTTGAGGTGTGGTTTACTGGGACAAAATCAACTTTTCCGCGTTTCGCAGCGAAAAAAGCTGCCCTTGTGGACTACACCCGAGGGTAAAAATATTTGGAACGGTCGGTCATACTCGGCGTCACGTACAACCTGAACACACTCCTTAAAAGACACTGATTACGGGCTGGAATGCGGTGCGGTTTTGAAGACGTTGTTGAATGTCATTGGTGGAAAGGCGGGTGCTAACTGGGTTGGGGGGGGGGCCACGCGGCGGCGCGGCAGTCTGCTCGCCTGGCATGTTCGGAAATCCGTGGGCCAGGGGGAGTGTAGGCCAGTCTAGGGGGGGGGGTGGGGGGGGGGGGGGGCAGTCACTTGACATGCGTGAAAAGCTGGAATGTTCGAGTTTACACTGTCTCGCTCGAGAGAGCCCAGGTGAGCAGAGCGCCGCGTGGCCCCCCCTCCCAGAGTCAACCCTGCGTTGCGCAGTTTTGTTGCGCAGTTTCGCCCGATTAGACACGTTCTCTCGCGCGAACATTC